TGGGATGCGGAGGATTCCTGGAATGCCTCCCTAACACCAGCAGGATAATGTCTCCCTGACACTTGTAAGATAGCAAGAAGTTCAGAAAAAGGTCTCATTATAATGCTAAAAATCACATCCCTGGGCAGGGCAAAAGTATGTTAATGGAACATATATGTATGCAAATGAATTACATGGCTAAAACATAGGTATAGAGACATGCTCAGTAGAGAACGTCTTATGTCAGTGGCTTGTAACCAATCACTGAGCGATACACTTGCAAACATATGTATAAAAGGTACCCAAAGGTAGAAAGCGGGGGTGCTTGCTTTGCAAACGGTTGCCAAGCACCCCTCTCTGCGCAGACTGGAAACCATAAAGATTAAGTTGGATCCTCCACCCCTGTGTGTTCATTGGCAATAGCGCACCGGGCACGAACTCACACTGTCCGTTGGGGACAACAAGGGCATTGAGGTTTCCCCTTGGGATTAAGTTTATCTTTGGGATTACTGCGCCGTAAGTGGTGTGACGTTGTGCCTTATATTTTGTGAACTTCCATGTTTGTAAATGAGTAGATAAGTGGAGTCCTAGGGCTCTGCTGGGACCCCCGGTGCTATTGTTTCACCTGTTGTTTACTTGTATTTTTGTTTATTTGTGTTTTTGTTTCGTTGTATTATTTGTGCCTGATTTATTGTTCACCGAGACTTAGCTGTAGTTTATCTGTTAGCTACCTATGTTTAGTTTGGGGTTTATCTCTTTCAGATCACTTACCTGTGACTTACCTGTATCTGGAGCACTGGTGTAAGGTACCCAGAGGGTATTGTTTATGTTATTTGTTTAGATATCCTATATATAGAGAGAGAACATATGCTTATATCCACGTTTCTTTCCCTTGTGCTAAGTTAATGTAAATACATGTGTATATAGTTAAGTCCCCTGCCTGGCCCGGCCTGGTGCTATAGGGACGGAGGGAGACTGAGCGGTCTGCAGTTCCCCCACAGCACACCTGCCAGCTAACAAGCCCCTTCAACTGAAGAAGGGGAGGATATACCCGAGTACACCTGGGCTGCACAGGTATTGACTTCACTATCCTTGGAAGTTTCCCAGACAGACCCTCCTGCAAGCCTGAGCATAAAGGCACCCCCACAAATTTGCCAGCCCCCTTTCACAAATCGCTTGTGCTGTTGACCATGAACCGCTTCGCCAGGTCTCAGAAAGCCAAGGCCAGCAGCATGGAGCCGGCAGGCCAGGAGGCTGATACCTCCAACGCCCATGGACCCAACTGGAGCCGGGAAGAACTAGAGGACTTAATCGACATTTGGTGGGAGCAAAGGATCCTAGACAGGCTGGAAAGCAGGAGGAATAAGCCTGTTTATGTCGAGATGGCAAAAGGCGTGCAGGCGCGAGGGCTGGTGCAAGATCAAGTCACTGAGATCAGCGCTTTACAAAGTCAAAGATGCGAACTCTCGTTCTGGGGCAGGCTGCACAATTGCCCGCTTCTATGACAAGCTGCCCATCGCTCTGTCCAAGGATGCGGGCAACACCCCGGATTTGGAGGCTTTCAGCACCGGGGTTGGGCTGGAGGAGGAGGAGGAGGCGGCGGCAGCAGGCCCTCCTGAGGGTGAAACCATGAGCATGTCTCAGCTGTTCGGAGACTGCTCCATGACGACCATGAGTGGCAGGAAACACCGTCGGTCACCTTACACTTAGTGCCACTTAGCCCCTCCGGTCCACAGAGTAGCACGGATGATGAAGCAGAGGAAGTGGAGGGTCAGGAAGAAACCCACGCAGCTAATGCATCATGTACTGTTCCCGAGACCCAAGAACATGCTGGACCATGTAAGTCTCTTGTAATGCGCCTCTTGCCACTGCCAGGCAATGCCCGGGTTTGTGCTGGTTGGGTTTGGGGACCCGGGGGGAAGGGGGAGAAATTCATGTGTTGCTGTAGGGGGGTCGCCACGTCCTTTCCGTGGTGGTGGAGGCCAGGCTTGACAGCTAATGATCTGCTTTAATTAATTTTTTGCAGCTAGCACGGGCAGTGGCAGCCATGGACCTGTTCCCGGAGCGAGTACTCCTACGTTGCGGGGTGTTTCCGTGCCTGCCAGCATTTTGTGCACTGCATGGTGGGGGTGGGGGTAGGGGTGTGCACTTTCCTCCCCTTGGGGGGAAGCCAACCATTGCTTTTTTCTTTATCAGCCACCATGACCCATAGCCACCGGGAACGGCGCCCCGCTCGCACTTCAGCAGAGCACTGCAAGCAAAGACGGTCCTGCGAACCCTCGCTCAAGGCTTTGGCAGAGTCCTTAGTAGCCAGAGCATGTGAAGCTGCCTGGTGGGACGAACTCCGTGAGTCCCGGCGTAAGGAGGTTGCCATCCTCGAGGAAGGGCGAGACACCATGCAGAATTTGAAAGACGTGGTCGAGGAGTCCCATGTTGAATTAGAGGTCACAGGACATTTTCAAGGATGCCTTTCAGAGTGTGCAGAACTACCTGAATAAATGGGTACGACGCCCAAGAAGGAAAAGTCGGTCCACTTGCCTTGCTTCTGTGCAAGACAAGCTGAGATTACACCCGAGGCTGTTCCCCCTAACTCAGCAGGGTCACAGCGGGGCCCTCCACCTGCCAGCAGGGCCAGGAGGGTGCCACTGCATTGCAGGGCTGGTTCAGGGTCATGGGGACAAAGAAGCACAAGTAACTGCTTATAATACTGTGTCACAAACAATAACACCCCATGGTTTCCTGGCTTCCTGTGTCTGCCTCCATATCCACCCCTACCCTGCTTGGTTGCGAAGGTGGATTTTGTTCATTGTTTGGGTTCGTTTCCCTCTGTTCGTTTGTCCTGCCGCTTCCTGCATGGTGCCGGGCCCGGGGCAGGGGTTGGCAATCTCTCTTGAACAGGTACACAAGGGGCGATGCCTGGGTGGGTCACAACACACAAGCGCTGGCATTTTGCAAAGGCTGGTCGGTGTCACCCCCAAGCAGCCTGGCTTGCTTTTTTGCAAGCCACCAGCCACTTTGCAAAGTCAGGGGCTCGTGCCTTCGTGCTTTTCTTTGGCTCGCCCGTCACAGCCCTTTCTTCCTTGCATTTTCACCTAGACAGAAACTTTGAAAAAGCTTTTTTTCAGGATTCTTTCCGTGCTCCTTTCCAGCCAGGGGCCAGGCACCGTCTCCTTCGTTCTAGAACAACAAAGCGAGGCCATGGGTGGGGGGCGGCGTACGGGAGGGACCCCACAGGAGCGCCCACCAGGGAGCAGGCAGCAGTGGGCTGGCACTAGATTTGATGGGGTGGATTCGCTGCAAGGGAGTTATTTATCAGACATCTTCAGAACCACAGAATCCTAGAAAATGAGGGTTGAAGAAACCCCAGGAGGTCACATCCAGTCTCACCCCCTGCTCCAAGCAGGACCAGCCCCAACTCCACCATCCCAGCCAGGGCTTTGTCTAGTCAGGTCTTAAACACCTCCAAGGATGCAGACAGCTCCACCTCCCTGGGTAACCTGTCCCAGTGCTTCACCACCCTCCTAGTGAGAACATTTTTCCTAATATCCAACCTCAACTTCCCTTGCTGCAACTTGAGCCCATTGCTCCTTGTCCTGTCATCTGCCCCCACTGAGACCAGCCCAGCTCCATCCTCTGTGCAGCCCCCCTGCAGGGAGGTGAAGGCTGCTATTCAATCCCCCTCGGTCTTCCCTTCTGCAGACTCAATCAGCCCATTTCCCTCAGCCTCTCCTCACCAGTCCTGTCCCCCAGCCCCCAGCCATTGTCATTGCTGCCTCATTTTCATCACCCTCCGCTGGACTCTCTCCAATGTGTCCACATCCTTTCTGCAGTGGTGGGCGCACAACTGGACACAGGACTCCAGATGTGGCCTCCCCAGTGCCGAATAGAGGGGAAGAATCACTGCCTCCATCTGCTGGCAGCACTCCTACCAATGCAGCCCAGGATGCCGGTAGCCTTCTCGGCACCAAGGGCACACTGCTGGCTCCTGTCTGTCTTATTGTCCCCTGTCCCCTTATTTCATGGACATTAGGGCTGGAAGGGACCTCCCGAGATCATTGAGTCCAGCCCCCTGCCCGAGGCAGGAAGTCTGCTGGGGTCAAGCGATCCCAGCAGGATAAGCATCCAGAGGATCTGGGAGTCATTACTGATGCCAAAATGAGCATGGGCCGGCAGTGCGGGGACGCGGTCAGGAAGGCCAACAGCACCTTGTCGTGCATCCACAGATGCATCTCGAGCAGGTCCAAGGAGGTGATCCTCCCCCTCTACGCGACGCTGGTCAGGCCGCAGGTGGAGTACTGCGTCCAGTGCTGGGCGCCGCACGTCAGGAGGGATGTGGCCAGCATGGAGAGGGTCCAGAGGAGGCCACCCGCATGGTTGGGGGCAGCAGGGCAGGCCCTACGAGGAGAGGCGACGGGACCTGAACCTGTTCAGCCTCCACAAGAGAAGGCCGAGGGGATCTAGTGGCCTGTTACAAACTAGTCAGGGGGACCAGCAGGCACTGGGGGAGGCCCTGTTCCCCAGAGCGCTGCCAGGAGTGACTCAGGAGTGACTAGAAATAATGGTCACAAGCTGGCAGAGGGCAGATTCAGACTAGACATCAGGAGGCGCCACTTCAGTGTCAGGGCGGCTAGGATCTGGAACCGACTTCCAAGAGAAGTGGTGCTGGCTCCTGCCCTGGGGGGGCTTCAAGGGGGGGTTAGAGGGACACGTGGCCGGGGTGGTTTGGCCCCAGGGCTGGTTCCTGGCCCCGCATCCTTCCCCGCCAGGGCAGGGGCG